ATAATATTATCACTGTTAATTAATATTTGCACATATAACGAAGATAGTAACAGAATTAAGTGATTTTTCTAAATAAAAGTGTGGATTAACATTATACTTTTATCGTGATATTCCCAACGATAAAGAAAATTCTTGGAAAAAATTACTTTAAAACCTACTTTGATAAGGCAAGTCCGATAAGGAATTCACATTCTTCCACTTGGATATAGACATGGTCCGACTTTTGCGTGGACACCGTCCGGAAGGGGAACTCTGGCTTCTCGGCCTGATCTCGTGGGCTGACAAAGTTATCGGTAAAGTTCACCACAGCCTCTGCGAAACCGGTTATTTCTGCCTAAATCAAAGCTTTACATATAGGAATAGAAAACCTAAAAAGATTAGGAAGTAACTCGCTTGCCGATCAAGCGTATCGCCTTTTGGATAGAAGTACATTATTCGATGATGCTCTTCTCCTTCCTTCCTTCCTGATGCAGGATGAGCAACAAAAAAGAACTCGAGAATGTCTAGAACAAAAAAAAAACACTTTTATGAGTAATAACGGAACAAAATAGAAAACTGCATACCCGACAAGCGGACCCACATTTCCGCCTGAGTGACATGGGACGTGTTTGTAGCAAAAAAGTATAGGGGATTCCCAAATGTGCCAGAAAACATGGTAAACATAAGGATTCCTTTTAATTAAAACTGTTCAAAACAGGTGACGTAAAATCGCGGGCGATTGGCTGTTGCACCAAACTTCACGGTCTACTACGGTCTCTACTTCAAGTAATGCTTTTTCGCATTTCTTCACGGAATTTATCCCCTTTAAATTTTTTTCAGAAGTAAGCCTTAACGTTTCTTGAAGCGGACTTTAGCGAGACCTTTTTGATGATCCATGCTCTGGTATCTTCTTTTTGCAGGCTTTTCAGTTGTAGAAAATTATGTGGGTTTTTTTTGAATCTGACGTTAGAGCCGGGAAAGGTGCATTTTTAAGAATGCCTTCACGCGTATATGTCCCAATTTGTTTCTTCAATTCCTAATAATCAAATTAGATAGATTAAACTTAATCTCATCTTCTTCTTTCTTGTTTTAACCCAGCTCAGTTGAACATGAATCTTTATTGTTAAGTTTCTTCACTCAAGATGAAAATTTTATAAGTAATCAAAGAAGAAAAATCTGTAAATAGGTATTTTGGTTCAAAACATCTTAATTTTTTTCTTCAAGTCCACATATGAAATAAGAAGACAAAAAATGTTAGGAAAATTTGAAAAGCCCACCTTCATCTTATATTTCGGCCGAAATGTGCTTGAATAAATGTGACCTGTCAATTTATATTAAGCGAAGCTATTTTCTCTGTCTTTTTGGAGTTTGAGGCTTGTTTATCATCCTTGTTTTCACATTGTCAGGAAATTAAACCTCAGAATCAAACGACTTTTTTCAAACATTCCATGACTCACCGTTGACTCAACCTTCATTAAACAACTGTGTAATAACATCTGCATAGCTAGCTCTTGTTATATTCCAGAAGCCCACTGTCTACCCAGACTTCTTCTTGATTCTTAAGGCGGGTATGGTTACCCCAGCAAGTCCCCTATGGGATTTCTGCGGGTTCGTCAATGGCACCTCTTTTCGAACCCGCTATTTTATGGACGAAACCACCCTGGCACTGACACCATGTGGGGAATTTGCACTTGTTATTGGAGAATCGCTCCCGCTTTTATTTTTCTCTGTTTGTAATATAATGTTGGTGCCGGTAAGTCATTATTTCACTTACAACCTTTAAATTTGAGTTTTAACCATAAATTTTAGGGTGGATTTACAACATTTGATGAGCACTCGACGATTTCGCGACTTTTCACTCTCAAAATTATCGTCAGTGTGCTTACTGTGCTCTCTATGACGGTTTCGTTTCCAGTCACTCTCCTCACCAGATTTCATTTAAAACCCGTGCTGCTTATTGAATATGGTATCTTGGCTCTGATTTGGACAGTCTTTGCTGCGTTATGGACATACTCGAAAATTGCGCATAGGTGGATTTTGTTAATTTGATT